TTTTCAGGCTGTTCAGAAGCTGCCGTCAGGCAGAACCCAGGTGGCAAGGGTTTCCTGTTTCCACACACTGTAGCTAAAATAGCCACACATATGTCTGTTTTGGGTGTTGGGGTTTCGTGAGTTAAAAATACGTTCAAGAAACATGCATTATGTTGTACTATCCGGCTCCTGCTTTGGACTTTCTTAAAAACCAAAAAAAAAAAAAAAAAAAAAAAGAGGAAAAAGAAAAGGGCTTATTCTAGTCTCCTCCACTCCAGGCCCCAACAGAAAGGAATCTTCTTCCAAGGACTCTGAGGCAGACCTGTTTCCGCTCACTCGCCAAGTTCAGGTCTCCTTAACCTGTTTTCTCTCTCTGTTCCTGCTCTTCACCTGGTTCTGGGGCCCACACCATCCCCCACCTCTCCTCCGTGTGGGGTGGGGAGGGCAGGTTTGTGCAAGGTAGGTCTCTCTCTCAGGAGCCCCCCTCGCTCCACCTCCCTCCTGAGTCAGGAGCCAGGAATGTGTGTGGGGGAAGCAGACAGGAATGCCACCCTGAGGGTGTCAGGGCCTGATTCATCTCTCCTTCCACCCCGTCTTCTCCTTACAGGGCTGGGAAACCTAAGTCTGTCTGGAGATAAGGGAGCAACCTGGGCTCTCCGCGGCCTGGAGTTAGATCCCTGAGTAGGGCGGACCCTCAGCACAGCACACTCCAGGGCAGGCTGCTGAAGGAGGGGAGAGAAGCTGACCTAAAATCTCTCTATCTGACCAGAGAGACTTTCAGATCAACACGGTGACTTCTGGGGTAACTTCTGAATGGGGGGGGGGGGGAATATTACATTTCAGTCTCTTCGCTGCCTCTGTGACCCATAAAGCAATGTGGACCTGCAAGACTGAAATATTGAAAGATGGGGAGGTGGCTCCATCAGGAGGCCCTGAATTCACATCCCAACAGCCACATAAAGAGCTCGTACAGGATTTCTGTCATTCTGGGGCTGCAGGCAAGAAAAAGGGGTCCTTGGGCTTGCTGGTCAGCCAGTCTGCAGAATCAGCGAGCTCCAGGACAGTGAAAGACACCGTTCTGAGGGCTGGCAAGATGGTTCAATAAGTAAAGGCACCTGAGCCGGGCGGTGGTGGCGCATGCCTTTAGTCCAGCACTCGGGAGGCAGAGGCAGGCAGATCTCTGTGAGTTCGAGACCAGCCTGGTCTACAGAGCTAGTTCCAGGACAGGCTCCAAAGCCAGAGAAGCCCTGTCTCGAAAAAAACAAAAAACAACAACAAAAAGAGAAAAGTAAAGGCACCTGCTGCCAAGCCTGAGAACACAAATTCGATCCCTGTGACTCAAAGAACTGATTTCTGTAAGTAGTCCGATAACCTCCACCTTTGCCGCTACTCACTCACTCTCTCTCTCTCTCTCTCTCACACACACACACACACGCAAATGAATAAATGAAAAATATGCTTGTAAAGTTAGAACGGTTAGCGATAGCTCCGGGTTAAGAGTGCTTACTGCTCTTGCAGAGGACCTGGGTTCAATTCCCAGCATCCACTAAGATGGCTCACAATGACCTGTAACTCGCATTCCACAGGATTGATACTCTCTTCTGGCCTCTCTGGCACATTCAATACTTGTGTATATATATTACAAGGCACACACACACACATAATAAATAAATCTTTTTTCTTCTTCTTAAGGCAGGATCTCACTGTGTAGCCCTGGCAGATCTAGAACTTGCTCTGTAGACTAGGCTGTCCTCGAACACAGAAATCACCGGCCTCTGTCTCCCAAACACTGAGATTAAAGGCATGTGTCACCAATGTCCTTCCTACTTTCTATTTAAAATTTTTAAAAATAACATTTATTAATTTGTGTGTATGTATGTGTGAACCCTATGTGGAGGTCAGAGGACACTTGTCTAAATCAGTCAACTTAGAGGAATCAGTTCTCTCCTTCCACCATGTGGGTCCTGGTGTCCAATCAGGTCCTGAGGCCTGGCAGCACCTTCACCTGCTAAGGACCTCACTGGTCCTTCATTTCTTTTTTCACTTCCAACTTCTTTCTTTCTTTCTTTGATTGATTTGGTTTTTTTCTTTGTGGCTTTGGAGCCTGTCTTGGAACTTGCTCTGCAGATCAGGCTGGCCTCAAACTCACAGAGGCCTGTCTCTGCCTCCCGAGTGCTGGGATTAACCAATATGTGCTCTTAACTGCTGAGCCATCTCTACAGCCTTCAATTATTTTGAGGCCAGTAGCCCGGGCTATCCTTAAACTTGAGTGTAGCTGAGGCTGACCTTGCTAAAATCACAGGCCTCATGTGAGGCCCACTAACCCTCATTCCTTTTTGTTTGTTTTGCTTTTTCAAGACAGGGTTTCTCTGCGTAACAGCTCTGGTTGTTTTAGAACTTGCTTTGTAGACCAGGCTGGTCTCGAACTCACAGAGAGCCGCCTGCCTCTGCCTCTCAAATTCTGGGATTGAAGGTGTGTGCCACCCCTCCGCTACCTCAGTGTAACCCCTCGTTAGCCTGGATGTTTGGAGTTGTAGGCAGTTCCCCAGCTGGAAGGAACACAAAGACTGAAAACAAGATACAGCACCCCAACTCTGGCAGGAGTGAGGCTGAGGAGCAATGCCTTACTCTGGAGTTCTTCTACGCAGGGCGGGAAATTGCGGTGGGCACCCCAGGTGTAAAAGAGGAGAAAAAGAGGTCCAAAATGGGTCCTTGGTGCTGGGGTGGGCTGAAGTCACTCTTGCCCCCCCCCCGTGGGAAAGGGTGGAAACTCTGGCCAGTCCCCCATCCCTTTCTCCTTTGCATGGCCCCCGTGGGTAAGGCTGGGTGAGCACCAAGCCAGGAGTCCTTCTGAGACCTCCTCATGCCACGCTACCTTCCAGCCCCTGAGGGTCTCCAGTTCGAAGCTGAGGAACACTAACAGTGCTCAGCAGGGGTGGCCAGGGAAGGCAAGGCGACCTGTGAGCTGTCAAGTGGCATTTCTGGAAAGCACTGTGGTGGCATGATTCTAGAGCCTGAGGTAGGAACGTCAGCAGCTTAAAAACCAAAAAAACTAACGTGTGTGTGTACGTATGTGGGGGCACATTTCTGTCACGGCGTGCAGGGGAGAGTGAGGGACAACTGAGTTTTAGATGTGTGCTCTATCACACCTGGCTTAAAATCTTTTAAAAAACACATTAATTTTGTATGTGTATGCACATGTGTGTTTAGGTCAGATGAAAATTTGCCTGAGTCAGTCAGCCACAAGAATCAATTTTCTCCTTCTATCTGTAGATCGTGGGGCTTGAACTCAGGTCATCAGGTATCTTTCACCGACTGAGCCCATCTCACTGGCTTCTCCCCCCCCCCCCCCAGTTTGTTTGTTTCCTTCTATTTTTTACAAATTTGTATTTTGGTGGGCAGTGGTGGCGCACACCTTTAATCTCAGTACTTGGGAAGCAGAGGCAGGCGGATCTCTGTGAATTTGAGACCAGCCTGGTTCACATAGCGAGTTCCAAGATAGACAGGACTCTTACACAAAGAAACTGTCTCAAAAAAACCTAGCAACTCGCTTTTGCTAGTTTGTATGTGTATCAGAGTCAGATTTCATGTAGTGCAGGCTAGTCTTGAACTTGCTAAGTACCAAGAGCTGACCATCATCTGATCTTCCCACGTCTGGGGCTACAGATGTGCACCATGCAGCGTGGATGAGAACGACTTCAATTCATTGAAGAAGAAAAGCATGCTTGCTGTCACACCAAAGCCTCAAAATAAGTTATAGCTGGCTACCCACCCTCTCTGGGAGGGCGGCAAAGCCGCAATGATGCCTTCAGCCCCTGCATGTGGTTTGTCCTGGTGTCTTAGGGTCTGTGATGGGCAAGCATCAAAACCCATGACAAGGCTACTGGCGCTCCCACCCAGACAAGGCATCTGCCTGGCAGCCTGGGCGTCAGGATTCCTGGGCTCCAGGCCCCACGAATGACTCATAGCTAACCCCAGACTGTGCCTCCTGGTCTCAGTTTCCCCGGATTGCTCTGTTGGTACCACCTACCACGCGGGGTATTAATAGGGGTGAGGCGCTTTGAACTCCTCAGATGAAAGGGGCTGAGGAAACAGCACCCGGTTATTAGCCCTCCACATCCTGGCGTGGGAGCTGAGGCTGGCCGCCCCTCTTCTGTTCTCGGCTATGGCTGCCCACACTGGGAAGCAAAGATGAACCACCTGTCTCCCTGCCACTTCCCAATCACTCTGCTAAACTGCATTCTCCTGTTGCCTGAAACCCACCGTCAATTCAGTTGGCACCCATAAACCACGTACAGATGTCTCAACTTTCCCTCTTGCTGACTACAGACCCCACAGGTGATGGCTGTAACTTTTTACATACACCAAAGAGGGGGTACTCCAGAGTCAGCAAAGAAAGCTATGACAGAGCCAGGCCAGTGACACTTCTACCTTGTCTTTGGGTTGCTGTAAGAGGCATGTGAGGAGCCTATGTGTGCATGCTCTTTGCAAAATGCCAAGCCCTGCATACACGTAGCTGTAATGGGTCATCAGATAAAACCTGGCACAAGCGTCCCTTGGCCATCAGGCTCTCACTGATGTTAAGGGCAAAACTAAGTCTATAGTACCACCTACTGGCTAAAAATGCAAACTGCAAGCCCCAGCCACACAGGTGTCTCCAGACAACTTGTCCAAGTAAACATTAAATATTTTCTTTAAACTTAGTTTGGACAAATCTCCTTCTTTAGAGACAGGGCTTCATATATCCCAAACTTCCTGAAACTCACTACATAGCTAAGGCTTCAACTCCTGATTCTACTGACTCCACATCTCTAGTGTTGGGATTAGAGGCACTTACAACCACATGAAATTAAAATAACTTCAGTTTTTATCTTTACTTTATTTGCATTGCTGTTTTGCCTGGATGTGTGTCTGTGTGAGGGTTGGATCTTCTGGAACTGGAGTTACAGACAGTTGTGAGCTGCCATGTGGGTGCTGGGAACTGAACCCTGGTCCTCTGGAATTTGCTTTGTACAGCAGACTGGCCTCGAACTCAAGAGTTTCACCTGCCTCTGCCTCCAGAGTGTTGGGATTGAAGGCGTGTGCCTCTATCACCTGTCTAATCTTTCAAATATTAGCCCCAAACAGAACAAAACTACATAATATGTAGGATAAAATAAAGCAAGCATTAAGTCAGGTCTGGCTAGGAACAGTCACCTGCGCATGCCTGACCTTAAGGCTCAGTTAACCCTGAAGAATGGCCAAATCACAGGACAAGTGCTGAGAACCCACACCTGAGCTGAGCTGTGTGAAACCATGACCTGGATGCAGAAACAAGCGGGGCCGCCATGATGGCTCAGCAGGTAAAGGAACATGTCACCAAGTTCAATAACCTGAGGGCAGCTCCCAGAATTCAGAAGAGAAGCAGCTTACATGACCTAACTATCCCCTGACCTCCACAGGTGTGCCTGCCTGTCACACAGACATTGTGCACAAACACAAAATAAATGCAATGAAAACAAAACAAAGACGCAGGGTTATTTGCAGGGACAGAGACAATTCTTTTCTTTTGCTCCAAACCCCTGGTTCCAGAGACTTGAAGAAAAGTTTGAAGCCCACAAAAAGCAGGGAATAATCTCACATCCCAACACACCCCACCGCAGCCCCAATAGAGACAGTTCCCAACTTTCAGGCAGCATTTTGTGGGGGCAAGGCTCCAAGCTTGGGGCACCACTGAGGGTGCAATGTCTGGCTTTTTATTGGAAGTCCTTTGCAGGATGATCTTCCTCCGCCAGGCTGGACACGGCTTTGGGTGGCAATCCGGCGGTCATCCAGGCTGGACACGTCTTTGGGTGGCGATCCAGCGGTCATCCAGACCCAGCTGCTAGAGCTGCATGGCTTCCTGCTCTGCCGTCTGGTCCGAGGATGCTAAGTACTTCTCCTGGATGCCCAGAGTGCTGGAGGAAGGCAGGTCAAGGCTTGGGTCGCAGGCAGGGATGAGGGACTGGCCTGGGCAGGATCTGACCTCTCCTGATGACTGCCACCCAAACACTGTCCTAGTTCCCACAGCTGGATGTGAGGCCTTCAAACATCCCTTCCCTGGGGTTCCTGTTTCTTCCCCACACTGCCGATACCAAAGGACCAGAGAGCACCAGCATCCAGCTTTGTATGGCATATGCTCGAGACAGACCAGGGTGTTCAAATCCTGCCCGTTGCTTCCTTTCCTCTTCTGAAGAATTACATGAGAGCCATGACTATAAAATGAGCGCCTCCTCACCTGGCACAGCTGCCGCAGTGACTGTTACCCCCTCCTCACCTGGCACAGCTGCCGCAGTGACTGTTACCCCCTCCTCACCTGGCACAGCTGCCGCAGTGACTGCTGTTACCCCCTCCTCACCTGGCACAGCTGCCGCAGTGACTGTTACCCCCCTCCTCACCTGGCACAGCTGGCGCAGTGACTGTTACCCCCCTCCTCACCTGGCACAGCTGCCGCAGTGACTGCTGTTACCCCCTCCTCACCTGGCACAGCTGCCGCAGTGACTGCTGTTACCCCCTCCTCACCTGGCACAGCTGCCGCAGTGACTGCTGTTACCCCCTCCTCACCTGGTACAGCTGCCGCAGTGACTGTTACCCCCTCCTCACCTGGCACAGCTGCCGCAGTGACTGTTACCCCCTCCTCACCTGGCACAGCTGCCACAGTGACTGCTGTTACCCCCTCCTCACCTGGTACAGCTGCCGCAGTGACTGTTACCCCCTCCTCACCTGGCACAGCTGCCGCAGTGACTGTTACCCCCCTCCTCACCTGGCACAGCTGCCGCAGTGACTGCTGTTACCCCCTCCTCACCTGGTACAGCTGCCGCAGTGACTGTTACCCCCTCCTCACCTGGCACAGCTGCCGCAGTGACTGTTACCCCCCTCCTCACCTGGCACAGCTGCCGCAGTGACTGCTGTTACCCCCTCCTCACCTGGTACAGCTGCCGCAGTGACTGTTACCCCCCTCCTCACCTGGCACAGCTGCCGCAGTGACTGTTACCCCCTCCTCACCTGGCACAGCTGCCGCAGTGACTGTTACCCCCTCCTCACCTGGCACAGCTGCCGCAGTGACTGTTACCCCCTCCTCACCTGGCACAGCTGCCACAGTGACTGCTGTTACCCCCTCCTCACCTGGTACAGCTGCCGCAGTGACTGTTACCCCCTCCTCACCTGGCACAGCTGCCGCAGTGACTGTTACCCCCTCCTCACCTGGCACAGCTGCCGCAGTGACTGTTACCCCCCTCCTCACCTGGCACAGCTGCCACAGTGACTGCTGTTACCCCCTCCTCACCTGGTACAGCTGCCGCAGTGACTGTTACCCCCTCCTCACCTGGCACAGCTGCCGCAGTGACTGTTACCCCCTCCTCACCTGGCACAGCTGCCGCAGTGACTGTTACCCCCTCCTCACCTGGCACAGCTGCCGCAGTGACTGTTACCCCCCTCCTCACCTGGCACAGCTGCCGCAGTGACTGTTACCCCCTCCTCACCTGGCACAGCTGCCGCAGTGACTGTTACCCCCCTCCTCACCTGGCACAGCTGCCGCAGTGACTGCTGTTACCCCCTCCTCACCTGGCACAGCTGCCGCAGTGACTGCTGTTACCCCCTCCTCACCTGGCACAGCTGCCGCAGTGACTGTTACCCCCCTCCTCACCTGGCACAGCTGCCGCAGTGACTGCTGTTACCCCCTCCTCACCTGGCACAGCTGCCGCAGTGACTGCTGTTACCCCCCTCCTCACCTGGCACAGCTGCCGCAGTGACTGTTACCCCCCTCCTCACCTGGCACAGCTGCCACAGTGACTGCTGTTACCCCCTCCTCACCTGGCACAGCTGCCACAGTGACTGTTACCCCCTCCTCACCTGGCACAGCTGCCGCAGTGACTGTTACCCCCCTCCTCACCTGGCACAGCTGCCGCAGTGACTGCTGTTACCCCCTCCTCACCTGGCACAGCTGCCGCAGTGACTGGTACCCCCCTCCTCACCTGGCACAGCTGCCGCAGTGACTGTTACCCCCTCCTCACCTGGCACAGCTGCCGCAGTGACTGCTGTTACCCCCTCCTCACCTGGCACAGCTGCCACAGTGACTGTTACCCCCCTCCTCACCTGGCACAGCTGCCACAGTGACTGCTGTTACCCCCTCCTCACCTGGCACAGCTGCCGCAGTGACTGTTACCCCCCTCCTCACCTGGCACAGCTGCCACAGTGACTGCTGTTACCCCCTCCTCACCTGGCACAGCTGCCGCAGTGACCACTGTTACTTTCTTTTTTCTACCAAGGCAGAGAACTCCTACTCTCTGTTTGAGCCACAAGGGTCTCCGCCCTCCCTCTGGGACACAACACAGGTCAATTCACAAAAGGAAAAGAGCAGACATTGCTAACACTGGCTGCCCACGCGCCATCGCCTTGGTTCTCTCAGCCCTGGGGACTGCACGTTCTACCCTACCATTCTAGCCACTGTCCCCATGGCCTGACACAGATCACTAGCCCCAAATTACAGCCACTCAGTGCATTTTCCACACATACAGGACTCTCCTGAAATGACCCTCAGCTCTCAGAGAATTGGAGGAAGATCAGGAGTTCAAGACCAGCCTGCACTACACGGGGTTATAGGCCAGCTAGAGGTGAAGAAACCCTATGTCAACCTAAATAAACCCTTACCTTTGAGCTGATGACTATACGTACTTCCCTCCACTCTGGTGCTGGGCATCAACCCAAGGCCTCATGGTAGAAGGCTAGCATTGTATCCTTGGCTACACCCCAGCCTCCATCACAGACCCATCTCCTTCCCCATACCCTGGTGCCTCTTCTCCATTTTCATGCAGGACACCAGCAAACTGAACCCCTCACCTTCCTCCCAATGCCACTTCATCTCTAGGCTTCTGTGTCTGCCACTTCTCTGGTGTCCCCCTAAGGATACGAGGAGAAATGAAAGTCAGCTCCCATGGCAGCAGACATCATGGCCTCCAGGCTTCGCTGCTCTTGAACCCCAAAACAGTAGCCATTGGCTTTATCCACAGCCTGTAGGACTCGCTGGATGCTGTCCTTGTCCTGAGCAGAGAAGAGAGGGAACACAATGAGTAAATCAAGCGTGGAGGGCTGAGGCCATGCCTACTGCTCTCCTCTAGCTCCTCCCATGATGATTTCACCTGCACTGTCCTTGGCCTAGAGGAGTCTAGGAGGCTTCCCAGGAGGCTCGCTGGCCAACTGTCCAGATTAGAAGAGACCAGCTCCTCCATGCCATCACTGCCTAGGGTTTTCTCCTTAGGGCAGAGCAGCAGTTAACTATCCTAGGATAACTGTCCCACTGCTCCTGCTGGGCTAACCAGCCTTCAAGGTCAGAAGTCAGTGAAGGGTGAGGTCCTGTCAGTGTTAGAGACAGCACTCCTGTCAGGGAGGCACCGAGCAAACACCTCTGTTACTTGGCTCATAAGGATTTCCTCATCCTATACACCAGTGAGAACAGCCCATATTTCTCAATGAAGGATGCAGAACAGAGTAACGCACGTGCAGCCCTCGGCACAGTGCTAGCAGGGACAGCTGCAGAGAGTGGTGGCTGGCACGCCCACTTTCTCCTGCTCTCCTTCTCGTGCAGGAGACAAGTGTGGTGTGAGTGCCAAGTCGGCTCAAGCCCCCCACCACAGAAAGGAACTTAAGACCACCGTGTCTCCTGGGTTAGCTCTGTCACAAGCAAGATGAGAGGCATGGAGATTGGGGGCATTCTGCAAACTCATAACATAGATGCACAGTGAAATGGACCCAAAAATCTGTGCCCTGGGTCCTGGCTAAGTTTTTGCTGTGACTCTGGACTCACGCATGTTCATTTACACTTAGGGGGTATGTGCAAAGGAGCCCTGCGGAGTCAGCACCACAGGACTAAAGTCTGTGTTCTGCTTTTTACTGGGATCCTGCGCCCACTGCACCTGGTCCTGAAAGTCAGCCAAGGACAGACCCAGGACGCAGACTGTTCCTGGAGCCATCAAATCTTATGTCCTTGGCCCCTGAGAGCTGCAGCCACAGGGAAGAGATATCTCCTATCCAATACCTGGATGTTCAGAGGGATAAAGGAGACCAGGCTGTAGTCTTCGATGAGCTGGACCAGCTTCTCATTGAGCTGACGGTAGTGACTGAAGAACGGGTCAGATGCCAGGTGCTCAAGCAGGTAGGAGAGGTCCAGGACTTCCGTGTAGTAGTCCAGGTTGAAGGCTGAGGAGAGAGGGCAGAGTCAGAAGCCACTGACGCCAGCTAAAGACCTCAGGACTGGAGGAGCTGAGCCGTAGCTCCACGACAATGTGTTTAGCATTCGGAAAGGCTTGGGTTCTACTTCTGGCACCCAAAGGGGGATTAAAAACTGTAACCAGGGGTGGGAATTTAGCTCAGTGCTAGAGCACTTGCCTAGCAGGCACATGGCCCTGGGTTTGGTCCTCAGCTCTGGGAGAAATCACAACCAATGGACTTGCCTGGTATACATGAAGTGATGGGTTCTGACCGAGCACTGTGCAGCACTAGGGACAAGAAAGACCCGATGCGTGGGGCTTTATCTTGTTTGTTTCTTTGTCATTGCTTTTTTCCGAGACAGGGTCTCATCTCTCAGCTCTGGCTGGCCTGTCACTATGTAGCTGCTCAGGTGGCTTTCCCAGCAGTTCCCCTGCCTCAGACCCCTGCATGCTGAGATTACAGGCATGAGTGTCATACTGGCTCCAGTACCTACACACACTAAAATACTTGCTGGTGTAGTGAAATGATGTCAGTGAGGAGAAAAACATTCGCCAGGCGGTGGTGGGACACACCTTTGATCCCAGCACTCAGGAGGCAGAGACAGGATCTCAGTAAGTTTGAGGCTAGCCTGGTATACAAAGTGAGTTCCAGGACAGCCAGGACTGTTACATCCTGTCTCTCTCTCTCTCTTTTTTAAAAATTATTTATTATGTATAGTGTTCTGTCTGCATGTATGCCTGCCCGCCAGAAGAGGGCACCAGATCTCATTATAGATGGTTGTGAGCCACCATGTGGTTGCTGGGAATGGAACTCAGGACCTCTGGAAGAGCAGCCAGTGCTCTTAACCTCTGAGCCATCTCTCCAGCCCGAAAAACCCTGCCTCAAACAATAAATAAAATAAATAAAGAAAAGAAAAGAAAAGAAAGGAAGGAAGGAAGGAAGAAAGAAAATGAAAAGAAGTATTCTCTTGGCCTGGTAGCACAGGCTGGTAATCCCAGATACAAGGACAGCCAAGGCAAAAGGGTTGGAAAGTCAAGGATAGCCTAGACTACACAGTAAATGTAAGGTCAGTCTGGGTAATTTAGTGAAACTCTGATCCAAATGGAAGAACCCTGTGAGATTGCTCGGTGAAGACAGACACTCGGAGCCAATCCTGACAACCCGAGTTATCTCTGGGAGCCACACAGAGGTAGAAAACCAATCCACACAAGTTGTCCTGACCTCCACACAAACATGTACCCCACATAAATGAAGAAATCTAATTTAAAGGGGGCAGCTTGAGAGGTTAAGAGTGTTTGCTACTCTTCCAAAGGACCTGAGTTCGGTTCCCAGTATCCACACGGGAGGCTCATAACTGTAACTTCATCTCCAGGCGATCACATGACCTCTTCTGGCCTCCCTGGGGACACACATATGTATGGCATACAGTCACACAACACACATAGATTTTTAAATATTTTAAAACACTAGATTCCTTCCTTCCCTTTCTAGAGAGGGTCTCACGTAGCCCAGGCTGGCCTTGAACCCGCTCCTCCTGTCTTATCTCCCAAGTACTGGGATTACAGACACGTCGTCATCGTACCAACGGTCACTTGGGCTCCTTGGAAAGTCGCTCCCAAAGATGAGTGGACTCTGGGCTGACCTCCCTCCATGTCCTGACTAGGCAAGGTCCCTTCCATGTCACTCCCAGCCCCCTCCCTGCTCATATGCTAGACATTTCTTCTCTTGGCTCCTTCATGGTTTCAGATTTTTAAGGAACAGACGCCATTAGCACAGCAGAAAAAAAAATGCTGATCATCGAGACACTACCCATTGAGTCCTACGCATTCTTGCCACCTGAGGATGATGCAGGTATAAGTTGGCCGTCTACAAGCCAGACCCTGGGTCCACCCATGCCTCTGAATCAAGGCTTTCTACCCTCTAGAACATCTGCTGTTTGAGCCACTGGTGGATGGCAGTTTCACTACAGCTGTTTCTGCTAGACCAACACTTCTGCCCCTAGTAGTCAAGCTAGAACAGTCCTCCAGTAGGCCACTTCTCACCAGCCAAGGGTCAGAGTGCCAGGGCTCAGGGCTGTGAGCAGTTATCCACTCCTTCAGCTAGCCACTGTCCTACCACCTTGTCTTAATCGCTCTGCAGCGCTCCTCTGCAATCTCTAGTCTACTCCAGTATCTGGCACAGTGATGCACACGTTAGGAAGACACAGTGGGGCAGCTTCCCTCCTGCTCCAAGCAGGGGCTCTTACCCAGCTTCCCATAGTGTTCAATAAGGTCCATCTTGGAGAGGAGGTTGACATGGGGCAGCTCCACATGCAGCATGGTGGCCAGGGAGGTGCACAGCACTGAGATGAACTTGCCTGGGTCTGTGCAGTAGTGAGAATCCACAAGATGGACAGCCGTCAGCTGTGAGCAGAAGACAGAGGATGAGAGGGAAAGCCGGACCGCAGGGGGAGGGGCTTCAGGGCCACGGGTCCCTTGTGAGATGAGCAGCTTAAGGATCCAGCCTAAGCCTTCCTCAGCTGTGTCCTGCTTCTACTTCCTTGTATGTGTGTGCTTGCAACAGGGCTTTACGGCCTGGAGCATGATCATGCTCTTTCTGCCTCCACAAGCCAAGTGCTGGGACTACAGGCATGTGCCACTTTCCTGGGCTCTTGTATTTAATTCTAATAGCCAGCATCATGTCTTCCGCCCAGAAAATATGCGGGTTTTCTTACAAAGTTCCTTTGTTTCCTCCCTACTATGCTGGGGACCAAATCCAGGGCCTGCGGTCTCTGCTTGTTAGGCAAGATCTCTACCATTGAGCTAAATCTCCAGTCCCTCTTACATAGCGCCCTGCAGTGGGAGACGGGTTCAAATTACACTGCATCTGTCTCTCTACTCTTTCACTACACTTTTGCACACCAACAATTGCTGTAGCCACTCTCTATATTGATCACTTCCATTTAAAATCCCAATTAGGAACTAACACATTTATTCAAAATAAATACAAAACTGAGCCGAGAGGACTTTCCCAGATCACGGAGTTGGTGGCAGAGTTAAAATCAGAACTCAGAGGCTTTAGTTCTGCTCCAAACTCAACTCGGCCAGATCTGGCAGTGTGACTTGGGGGCGTGGCATCAGCCTGCCTCCCTGTCTCAGGGAATCCATCTGCGTTAAAGGGCTTGCCCGACCGAGACGCACCCTGAGGTCCCACTGTGCCATCTGGGAGAAGATATTGCGCAGGGCGGCATGGTGCGTGCAGAGCTCCACCTGGCCGGGGCAGTCGAAGAGAAAGTAGTGGCCTCGGAGGGGCTCGAGCTTGGCGCGCAGCCAGTCCAGGTTGGCTTCCAGGTACTCCATGCAGTAGAGCAGGCCACCGTTGGGGCCCAGGCGCAGCGCGTCCATCACGTCCCCCAGCCCCACCAGCTCGCCCACGTCCACGGCACACTCATAGGGTAGCCCTTCATTAGCTGGGTCCAGGTTCACCACGGCCACGCGCCGGCCGAGCGCGCGCAGGAACTCACTCATGCCCAGGCAGTACGTGGTCTTCCCCGAGCCCGGGGGCCCGATCACCGCCTGCCCGAAGGCCGTGGCCGGGGCGGCCCCCGCCATGGCTGGAGCAGGCCAGCCCACAGGCGCCTCCCGAACTAAAACAAGGAGACTCACGCAGAAAATTAGCAAACTACCCGGCAAGGAAGGGAAAAGCTCCGACTTCTGGACTCCGCCGGAAATGGCTGAGAGGAAGTCCCGCCCACACGTCAACGACGTTGGCCGGCTATGGAGCCCTAGTTACACCGCCCGCCGCCTTCCTCCCGCTGCGGTGTCAGTCTCAGGGTTTCCCTGGTTTCTCTAAGTCAGACTTCCGGGTCGGTCCAGTCCTAAACTCGTTTATTCTCGTGCAGACCCGCCCCCAGCCAAAAGGTAGAGGTGGTGAGAGGCCGCCCGACCCGCTCTGGATCAGTTCTTCTCTCATCCCATATTCTTTTTCTGACCTCGTGATGTCCTCCTTCAGAACCCAGCAAACCCGACTGGAATGTGCCACAGGCAGTCCAGATCTTCCTGGTTCTGGGGCGAGCCCAGACAAGGACTAGGGTTCGGAGACCACCCCAGGAGAGGGAGGGGCTTTCTGTGAAATCATCTTTGAGGTAGACAAGCGCAGGCGTGCTCGGGTATGAGCACATGAGTCTGTTTTGCAGACTCCCTGGTTCTTAGCTGCTTCAGAGGCCCACAAGGCAAGCCCCAGGCTGTTTCCTGCAGCCGAGTGACCCTGCCCAAGGGCCAGCGTCACTCAGGCTCCAGGGGTCTGCCCAAGGCACAGCTGGAACCCCTCACAAAAGTCATATCTGTCCGAAACTTCATGCTTGTGGGTGGCTGGCGTCGGAGCAAGGACTCTGTCTCGTCTTGGGGAAGAGGTTCATCATAGATTGTGGAAATGAGACCCAAGCCAGTTCTACGGGGTCTCTTCAGTTGCCCAAATGGCTGTAGTTTCTCTCCATGGTACCTGGATCAAACAGGGCAAGGGACAGGAGTAGCTACTAAGTATCTAGTTTGTCCTGTAAGATACACTGTCTTGTGCTGATAGGGTTTGAACCCAGGGCCAGACCCCAACACCTGCAGTAGTGCTCGCCACCTTCTGGAGACAGTCTGTGCCAACTACAAGGAACATTTTCATTCCCACAACGGGCTCTCTTATGAAGCCCAAACTCAGACTCGAGGAAATGACTTTCCTGGGGGACCCATGACAGTTTTAAGTTATAAGATTTGGTCTAAAAGAAACATAAAGAACTGTATCATCAATTTTTTCTACTATGAAGTTCATCTTCTAGGGGTACCTAGCATGCATCCCCAAAGCAACAAGAAACCAAATAACATCATTGCTGGGTTAAGACTCTAAGGAGTCCTTCAGGGGTGTACTTACCCCAATCCACGTTTGCATCTGGGGTGCTGGCCATCACCTTCTGGGGCCTCAGGCACCCCGGAGCACCTACTACCCAGGCCCTGGCCTTCAGCCCAGCCCTGGCGCTCCATCACCTTCCGGCCAATGCCCTGCAAAGGGAAGCAGTGAGACTCAGGAAAAGTGGCTTAAGTTTGAAAGGTGCTGTGTGTCCCATCCATCACTTGGGAGACAGGGGCAGAAGGACCTGACCTCAGGGTCAGGATAGGCTACATATGGAGATCCTACCTCAAAGGGAGGGAGGGATGGGGGAGAGAGAGAAATGGGAGAAGGGAAGGAGAGGGGAAGGAGGGAGGGGGCCGACTCTTGGAGAACACAAGAAAGGGAGTGCTGCTCAGTGGGCGAGCAGCACTCCCTTACCTTGGTGTGGTGCTCAAAGGCGCCCACTTGGCGGCCTATCACAGAGCCATCTTCCTGGCCACCACGGAGTCTCTGTTCCAGGCGCATTTGGACATAGTCACGGGCGTCTTTGTCTCCACCATCTGAGGAACCATAACCCATTTTGTAAAAGGGTCCCTCTCACACCAGGAGGATCAGGTATCTGGGGTCCCCTCACAAGACTTAGGGATTAATTTTCATAATGCCTGCAATCTCTCTCAGGAGGCTGGGAACACGCACCAGGAAGTACAGTTCCCATGCTGCACACGAGGAACTGCTGTGGGCTAAACTCTTGGGAGACGGTGAATATGTATTACCTCACTGGTTAATAAGAGCCGACTGGCCGAGGGCTAGGTAGGATTTTTGGTGTAGAGAGAACACGGCAAAGGAAGGTGGAGTCTCAGAAGTCCCGAGGAGACAAAGAAAAGGAGGAGATGAACTTTCCATATTGAGATAAGGAAGGTACCGATCCCATGGTAGAATATAGATAGAAGTAGGTTGACTGAGGTGGTGAGGTGGTGGGAGCTAGTTAGGAACAAACTCAAGCTGTCAGCCAAAACAGCAAAAATAAATAAATTTAAAAAAATTATCAAAAAAAGGGCATTCAGACTGGTCTACATAGTGAGTTTTAGAACAGCCAGGGGTACACACACTGTCTCAAAACAAAACAAAAAACAGAAACAAAACAAAAATCCAGGTCATTTTTCCCTTCAGAACTACGAGGTGACCAAAGGTCAAGCTTCTATTTAGAGCCTGTTTGTTCAGTCAGCCCCCGAGGGTGTTCCCAGAGCCTGCCCTCCAGCAGCACCTAACTATAGGCATTGAGTACGCACAAGCAGAGATGGTAAGTCCAGTCAGCCTGTTTGTACAGGTTCTGCACCTGCAGATCAACCACTCTGAAACAACTCAGAACATAGCTGCATCTGGACCAACACACAGACTCCCCACCCCATCCTTCAGTCTCTCTCATGTCACCAGGGCAGGGATTCCAAGCTGGACACCACCATAGCTGGCGAGTAATTCTTTTTCCTGGTGCTGGACTTGAACCCAGGGCCTTACATCTGCTAGGAAAGTACACTGGGCTGTAGCACCAGCCCTTGCTAACTGATTTTGAGAGAGATTACGTAAAGTGTGCACGAGGATGTATGTAGGTCTATGCAGTTACACAATTGCGTACGAAAGCACCTGCAGATCTTGGTGTGCACGGTGGTTCTAGAACCGTTCTCCTAGAGCACACTGAGAACGAGTGCACAGTGCCTCTAGCTCCCTGACTCAACCTCTGCCAAGCATGTGCGGCTAACATACGGGCACCAGTTCCTCCCACGACTGCCACCCCCGCCAGTACCTTTGTCGTAGTAGACACTCATGTCCACGTCCCAGTCATCGGCCGTCTGCTCGTCAAAGTCTACAGGGATAGAAGCATGGGTTGAGGACTCGGACGAGGAACCCAACTGAGGGGCTTGCACAAGCCGAAGGTGCTCTACCGTCAAGCTCTGTGCCTCACCCCAGTGACTCCCAGCTGTGCTCAACCAAAGTCCAGTGTTAGACAGACATTCTAGGTGCTATCCCAATTCCTCATTCTAAAACAGGACCAACAGTTCGCATTATACATGGTGGAAGCCATTTCCTAGCTTTATTTAGACTGTCGGGCAATCATTCACTATGTGGAGCAGAGAGGCCGCTACCTGGGTTTGACAGCCCTGCATCCCTGACAAAGTCCATGTGTTAACGACTTAGTCTCAGACACAGCGGGAAGTAATGGGAACTTTAAGAGGTAGGGCTTCATTTATGACCTTAAAAGGGACTGTGAGACCAGGTCTCTTCTTCCTTCTCTCTCCCTTGTGTCCCAGTCATGAGGTGAACAGGCTTCCAACCACACTGTGCAGCCTCACCACAGGCACAGAAGCCAACTGCCCATGCCCGAGACCTCCAATCTGAGCCAGCGCTCCTCTCTTTAAAAGTTAATTCATCTCTGGTATTCGCCACAGTAACCGCAAGCCTTACCTCCTTCTTCCTCCTGCCAGAACTGAGCATCAGTGTAGAACACCAGGCCAGAGCCGCCCTTCTCCCACTTGAGCTCAATCTCTTCCTCAAAGAGCCGCTCAGTTGTCCGCTCCTGCCTGGTCACGTCCTCGTGCAGAGCCTCGTGACGCTCCCACTCCTCACACAGGTCATCGTCCTGGGAGAAGGGGAGGAAGGGGTGACCTGTGTGTCTGAATCCAGACCACAGGCCTAGGAGGAGTCTCAGGCCCAGCAGGGGACACGGGACCTCGACCACAGCACGTGCTTTTTTTCAGGCATCTCCAGAAGCAGCGCATCTGCACCTTGAGACCTTGACGACACCTGCTGCCAGCCCTCTGCTGCTCACCCCACCCCACCCGCTCTCAGTTCTGTGCTACTGACCACAGTTCCTCCTCCATGCCGCTTCTCCGCTTGCTCAAACCCTCAGCTGAGTCTCCAGCCTACACAAAGCCCGCTCAGTCTACAGCTCTCTCTAGTGTGTAAATCGGTGTACACCATTTAAGCCTTTCTCAATTAGCCTACACAAAGCCCACTCAGTCTACAGCTCTCTCTAGTGTGTAAATCGGTGTACACCATTTAAGCCTTTCTCAATTAGCCTACACAAAGCCCGCTCAGTCTACAGCTCTCTCTAGTGTGTAAATCGGTGTACACCATTTAAGCCTTTCTCAATTAGCCTACACAAAGCCCACTCAGTCTACAGCTCTCTCTAGTGTGTAAATCGGTGTACACCATTTAAGCCTTTCTCAATTAGCCTACACAAAGCCCACTCAGTCTACAGCTCTCTCTAGTGTGTAAATCGGTGTACACCATTTAAGCCTTTCTCAATTATGTCATCTCCTGCCCTTCCTATAACTGGGTTCCTGGAATAATCCCGGTGGCTCTGTGAGGTAAGTGCTGTTATTTCCATTTTACAGGAGGGAACCGAAGACAGAGGTAAGGCTGCCCACACACTGCCAAGAGCAGCCGAGTCAGCAGGCAATCCCAGGCCATCTTCACACAGCCTTCCACACTCCTTCTTTCTTGTTTCAACATTTAGGTTCTTCCAGGGCAGAAAATGGATCATGGAATGTCTTTGAGCACTAGTTCTTACTACAATGTGCTCAACTGGACTTGTGGAATGACAGGATGACTCTTGGCTTGACTCCCCTGGGGCCCTATGCTGTGGGATAATGCTCTTCTACACTATAAAGATTTGTCACTTGTACTGGTTTAATAAACGCTGACTGGCCAATAGCTAGGAAGGAAGTATAGGAGGGCCAACCAGAATAGGAGAATTCTGGAAAGAAGAAAGGCTCAGTCTGCAATCACTAGCCAAACATAGAGGAAGCAAAATGAGAGTAACTTATTGAGAAAAGGCACCAAGCCACATGGCTAAACATAGATAAGAATAATG